ACACACACCTGTCCTCTGTACTAACAGGTAACACACACACCTGTCCTCTGTACTAACAGGTAACACACACACCTGTCCTCTGTACTAACAGGTAACACACACACCTGTCCTCTGTACTAACAGGTAACACACACACCTGTCCTCTGTACTAACAGGTAACACACACACCTGTCTGTGTTTCAGGTGACGGATGTTTTCAGCAGCTCAGACGACAGTTTGGGGTAAAAAATAATTTCATGTTTTCTTTCAGAAAAATGATTTAAAAGTTTGATTAAAGTGAAAATTGATTTAGAGATTCAGTAGAGAAGGAGAACACATGAACACATGAACACATGAACATATTTCAGGAACATTCTCAGACTGATCATATTTCCTCTCTCAGCCCTCTGTCCTCCAGTGTGTCCCCAGCTCTGGGGTTGGTCTGGGCCAATCAGGTGATGGTTCGGCTGATGATGCGGCGTCTTCAGGGGACAGTCGCCCGTGGCAACCAGAGCAGCGCCCTCCGCAGGCTGGAGGTGGTGTTTGCTCCTCACCTGGCCCGAGACGGGCGAGACGCCGCTGTGTGGAGAGAGGGGGTCCGAGGAGTTCAGACATGATCCGACAGTCCAGATTAAACCTTTGTAAATACATGTAAACATGTGTAAACATATATAAACGTGTGAGTGTATAAAGTGAGGTGTGTGAGAGCTGATGACATTAAAGGTTATAAATGAGATGATGTCACTGTTTGGGTCGTTATGTGCAGTGTGACGGTCGGAGGTGAAACTGAACTCAGGTCAGATTTTAAATGAACTGATGAGAGAACATGTTCATGAGTCTGTGGACAGCAGCTTTATTTACTCTGATCAGCTTTATTTACTCTGATCAGCTTTATTTACTCTGATCAGCTTTATTTACTCTGATCTCCTTCAGTTTCATGTCAGCTGATCACAGAGTGATTACCATGTAATATTACAGAGGTACAAACACTACATGTCAGAACACTATTTGTTTCTCTGAACTACTCTGATGATTAAACCACCTTTTATATTCTGGAGCTTTCAGCCTGTCTCACTGTCTTCATCACTGGATCATTTTGTTAAATAAATATTGATGTTTAATATGTTTTTCTGTTGTAAATAAACTTTAATGATTAAAGTTCAAATGTTTTATATTCTGTGCTCAGTTATTCTCTCTCTCTCTCGCTCTCTCTCTCTCTGTGTCGTGCAGCAGCAGCGCCTCCTGCTGACAATTACAGGTAATGATACCATGACGTCAGGCGGCCTTATTGCGCCTGCGCAGTCAGTTTGACCACAGAAGAAAACATTACTGGGGGTCTGAGAAGCTGCTTTCAAAATAAAAGCACCGCGTTGGAGACAGCAGGGTGAAATAAGAAAAAGGTTTTATTTGGTTTAAAATTTGAATCACTGAAGATGTTTCACATGAAACATTTACTTGTCACAGTGTTTAAATGTTCCACTGTGTGCTTATCTCTGCTGCGTCTTCTGATGAGTTTGATCAGCTGTCAGATGTGTTTGAAGCGTCTGATGATTAATTAATTTCCTCCTAATCTTCAGTGATCAGTGAAAACTGTCGTACAGACACTCAGATGTCCAAATCGAGACGTCTCCATGGCGACGCTGATGAAGACCATGAGTTGTGGATGAAAGCTCCAGGTGAACAGGTGTTGAAACTGAAAACAATGTTTTTATAGAATCAATTAAAAGTCAATAAACAGATTGGTTTCAGATCAAATGTTGATGTTGACATGTTGGACTGTTTGTAGAATCCAAATTTTTCACCTCTCAGCTCTTCTGAAGACGGGACTCTTATTGTGAAAGGATGTGACCGGAAGTGATGCTGACGGTGATCGGTGCGCGAGCTTGATGGTGATGCGCAGCTCGTGAAGCATCAGAGCAGAAATTCGTCTGATCAGAAATCACAGATCGAAGATCAAAATAAGGTCAGACTGTTTGTTTGTTTGTTTGTTTGTTTGTTTGTTTACAGACTGAGATGCTGCAGATCAGCTGTTTGTCATCACTACGTCATCAGTGGGTAACCTGATCGGTACAGAGCGATCAGACTGATGGAGGATGTTATTGTGACAGAAGAGCTGATCAGAAGATGACATAATGATAATATCAGTTATTGATCCAACAGCTTCCAAACAGGAATAAACAATCCTTTCAATGTAAAAGCCTGCTTCAAAAACGGTAAACGACAACTAAATAAATAAATAAACAAATAGCCTTATAAATAAATAACTGTCCGAGGGCGTGGCCCTGCAGACCGGAAGTCTCTATACTGCTCTGTGCTAATCTAAAATTAATATTATTGATCAGTTTAAGACGAACAGCTGAAGAAAATGTTTCAGACTGCGTTTACAGTTTAATTCATAACTATTATATATTAGGCCCACTGATATGTTTACCATAGTCAGCATGTATATACATATATACACATTATATATGAGTGTATATTTACCTTTATAAGTCACAGTGAGATTAAAACCTCTGTTGTATGTGACACTGAGTCCAGACCGTCAGACAGCAGCATCAAACACAAACAACAACAGGTCTGTGTCAGTTAAAGCAGCTGCAGCGAACTGTGACCACTTCCTTTATTCTCAGTTTAAAACCATGTAGAGTTCAGGGTCTGACTCCAGGTCCAGGACTCGCAGGAGGACAGACTCGTTCTGTAAAGCCTCATCTCAACCCTTTCAGTCCAGTCCCTGTGGAACCAGCAGTAAGCCTTCAGACATGGTACCTAGACCCTCGGTGTGTTCAGACAGTCCTCTTAAATGTGGGCGGGGTTGTTGTCACTCACTGCTCCGTCCAGCACTCGCTGTATTTCCTCATCAGCGGTGACACAGATGGAAGTCTGCACCTGGTTTATCGTCCACAGAACGAGGCTGCACGCCCACATTTTCACAACAAAATAGAACAGGCTGCAGTGAGAGTCTCTCTCCATGGGATATTTAAAAATAGCAGCTTTGTGCATTTAGTCCTTCTCAGGCAAGCTCAGGGGTTTAGTGTTGCTGTAGCCCACAGGAAGTGAGGATTAGAATATATGACCTTCACATAATCCGCTCCAAATTTATCTATATTTTTAAAGTCATTACTAAAAGTGTGTGTCATATATAAACTAAAGTGATGGTCAAAGTTGTCACAGTGAAATTTAAGGTGTGCTGATGGATTCACGTCATCAACTCATGCATTGAGTAACATTACAAGTTAACGTTCCACCTTAAAAGTTGCCGGCAGTCGGCCCAGTGAATGAAGTGATTTTTTTCTCTTTCATTTTATAGTTGTAGTTTACTGATGTATGAACAGAGGTTACATAAAACCAGAGTGAGCGTCCTCTACTGACCAATCAGACTGCAGGGTTTCTAGCTCCACCTTTTAGTACCAGATCTGTGTGCTAGGTACCCCAACAGAGGGGGGACCAAACATGGGGACGCTAAGGAACGCTTCTGTTGGGACCATCCACAACTTTCACTGTGGAGACAGAAACTATGAACTGAGCTGGACTGCTCGGTGGAAACGGGGATTAAAAGACTCTTTAAACTGAAGCCATGTGAGACCTCAGACTGTTTTGTAAAGATAAAAACTTCTGTCTTTAGCCCTATTCGGACGGGATTAGTTTTACATAGATACGTGGGGTAAAGTAATAATTACCAGAGATTTTAGTCCCGTCCGAATGTGCCATGTCAGTAATCATTACCGCACGATGTCAGTAAAGATTACCGTGACTTTTACCTTCTGTAAAAGGGTCCTGGACAGTTACCTCAGGTAATACTGATGCCGTGCGAATAGACCAGCAGTAAATATGTGTGTTAGGGCTGTCAAAAAAAAAAAAATCGAAGTTCGAAATATATTCAAATATATATATTTTTTATAAGTTCGAACCTAAATTTAATAATTCGAATATCATTAATAATTAATTAATACTATCAATAATATTGTGTATCACGGCGAATCCCGTTCGGGCGGAGATGGCTTGCGCACAAGCCGGGCGCAGCGACGGAGGGAGAGGCGCCGACGGAGGAGCCCGCTGCACCAACACCACCCACTGCGCTGTCCACGATGTGTGACCTGTTCGGGGAGACATACAGGGAGAGTGTTGCACCTGCTGCCTCCCTGCCTACACTTTCTGAAGAAGAGATGAAACGTTACCAGAATGAGACACCACTACGAGCCGGCCAGGATCCACTCTTGTGGTGGAAAACTACGCACTGAAGTATCCAAACATTGCTCAGATAGCGAGGCAGAAGTTGTTCATACCTGGTACTTCAGTGAGGTCAGAATGGGTGTTTTCATCCTAGTGTCACGTTCATATTGTGTCAGCAATAAGCATCTTATTTTTTGTGTTTTTTTGTAAAAAAAAATTTAAAAATAATAATAATAAATTCAAATATTATTCGAACTCAATTTCATGGTGCTTTTGACAGCCCTAATGTGTGTAGATATTTCATCATATCCTGTTTACAAGTGGTTTTTCGCGGATTTTCAAGCATGGAGGCTCTTGAAGAAGCACTCAGCTTTGCACTTCACAGTCGGACAAGTCCGTGTGAAACCTCAGGTACTGTGGGCCTACGACGAACACGATTCAAGTGTGTTCGAGTGTGGTACGCACGGCAGGGCACGGCTGTGCGTGAATGGATTTACCCCTCCCACTGGTGGTAGTTTTACTGATATTTCTTATCCTGTGTGAATTGGCCATTAATATTATCGACGTCCTGTGGTAAAGTGACATTACCCCACGTGCCCATGTAAAACTAATCCTGTCCAAATAGTGCTTTACTCACCTTTGGAAAAGATGATGATAAAAATCACATCAGAGCTTTACAACTAGCTCACATCTTACTCAACCAAAGATTCTCAGTATAAGGTGAAGGCCTGGAAGGAAAACCGAAATTTAGGATGAAGATTTGAGCACAGCTGGTTCTGACGCTGATACTGAGGCTATAAATACAAGGCTCAAATTAACAGTATAAATGGTTAATGTGGACTAATGTGACTCCAGTTAAATTAAATCGATGCAACAAAAACATAGCTGACAAACAGTCTGCACACAATGTACAGACAACAGAGGAACATTGTGTCACTGTATTTGGAAACGTACAAAGATTCAAATGTTTTGGAAAAAGTTCTAATAGAGAAGATTACTTAAAAATAATTTCACTGAACCCTGTGAGCTTTTTTGTTGGATTTATATCCTGAGAATCAGAACTGTCGTGAAAACGAACAAACTTTCACAGCTTCAGCTTCATGCCAAAAACTGTCTCACACTTTAATGGAGAAACACTCACAGACGGATCAGAGCTCTGTGGATGAGATGGATGTTATTAGGCCTCCATTAGAGAGGATAAGTGACATATGAAAGAGTCATCAACAGACATTAGAGACGTTATGGAGTCTCTCTCCATCTTGGTCCTGTATTAAGGAGCAGTTTTATTTTACATTTGTTTTATATGAATGTAAAAAGCTGACTTTTACAGGAAGAAAATTTTACAGTCGGCTCAGTCTCTGTTCCCCTCTCTTCCACCAGAGGGCGCTGTGACCATGACTCCCTCCCTCCCACTCTCATTGGTTGGTCTCCTGTTCCTGGGTTTGGCCTCTTCTGAGACCATTGACCCCTCGGTGGATCTGACCAATAGAAATGCGGACTTCGCTGCCCGGCTGTACCGAGTCGTCTCCAGCCGGACCGACGACAATGTCTTCCTGTCTACGTTCACACTGTCCGCCGGACTTTTGGCGTTGCTGAGTGGCACCGATGGGTCGACCCGGGACCAGCTGCTGCAGGGACTCAGCCTGACTGGACTGGACCCTGAGACCCTCCCAGGTAGGTCAGGGATCAGGAGCCTGTCAGAACTTTAGCTCTAAACTGTGAGATGACAGTCTGTCTCTGCTTTTCTCAGATCTGTTTCTGGGTCTGAGGACCGCCGTCCAACAGGGGAGCCTCATCATGCACCTAAAGCAGGGCATGGCCGTCTTACCTGCCCAAGCCTTTGAGGTGTCGCACTCGTACCTGGACCTGGTTCAGACGAAGTTTGGGGGGAACGCTCAGGGTATTGCCTACACAGTTCCGCTCGAGGCTACCGACACCATCAACCGCTGGGCTGAGGAGGAGACCGGAGATAAGGTGCAGGAACTGGTGACCACCCTGGACCCCCAGACCCAGCTGCTGCTCGCCACCGCTGCCTTCCACCAGGGTATAGATCACCAATCACATGTCGGGGGGGAGAGCGGGGCTAACTGTCTGAAGGCGGATATAACTGTCTGAGGACGGTTCACACAGAATACATACAGAGTCCATACAAAGATGCCAGTAGACATAAAATTACTCCAGGCAACGCACATGACAAGAGGAGGGGAAATTCACACTTTTTATGTGTGACGCATCATTTTAAGGGTGGGGGTATCTGTCTTGGGGCGGGGCCATCGGGTGGAGGGCGGATCTATCCTAAGAGCGGGGTTTGATTTCAGAGGATGGGTCTAGGATGGTCTGAGGATGTCAGAGAGTGTATCTGCCTTTCTAAGAGTGGGGTTATCTTTTTCGGGGCGGGTCTATCAGTTCGAGGGCGGGGTTTTCTGAGCCTTTTCTGAGAACAGTGTCATCCACAGTTCACACAATAGAGACTTGTAAAAAAAAAACTTTATTGAATTTAAGAATCAGTTAAACTTACCATTATTGTCGACACTTACACTTATCTGTGTGTATAAACTAAGTTTTGTCTCTGTTCCAGCCGGGTTCAGTCCATCCTTCAACGTGTCCTCCACTCAGGATGAGCGTTTCTACGTGGACAAGTATCACGTTGTCATGGTTCCCATGATGTTCAGGTCTGGTAAGTACTTCCTGGCGTACGACAGCTTGGTGAAGGCTGGTGTGTTGCAGCTGACGATGACAGGCGGGGCAGCCATGTTGGTTGTGCTGCCAGACGAAGACGTAGACATCACGGGGGTGGAAGAAGAGGTTACCGGAGAGAAGATCAGGGCCTGGATCAGCAAGCTCAAGAAGACGTGAGACACCTTTTGAACAGAAACGTTTTCTGACCCTCAGAAATTAAACATGTATCAGAGCCTCCATGTGTGCTGAGTTTTCTGGTGTTTTATTTTGTAAACAGGAAGTTGGAGGTGCAGCTTCCTCGCTTCCTGTTGGAGCGTTCCTATTCTCTGCGTGACGCCCTGCAGACTCTTAACATCAGTCAGGTGTTTCAGGATGGCGCTGACTTCAGCAACATAGGGGGAGATAAAACACTCAAACTGACACAGGTGAGAAACTAAACATGAGTTACAGATGAGTAAGATCCTTCAGGTGCAGGGAGGCCTTGGTTCTGTAAGATCCTTCATGTGCAGGGTTCAGTCAGGTGTTTCAGGATGGTGCTGACATCAGCATTTTACACAGCGTCCCAACTTTTGTACAATCAGTGTTGTAGATCGTTTTTTTTCTAATATAGATTGTTTTCTTTTTATATTTATGTCTCTAGTCTATGCACCAAAACACCAAACCAAATTCCTTGTATGTGAAAACCTACTTGGCAACAAAACCAACTTCTGATTCAGAAACCTTAAAAACCAGAAGGAACCTCAAGAAACCAACACCGTGTTCCAGATTGTATGCTTCTTCATTTTGCTTTCGGTAAGAGGGCGTGTCAGTGGGGTCCTGGACTGAATTCATGAGGCCAGCGTCAAATGTGAAGGAACTGTTTTTTGTGTCGTGAGGTTTTTGTCATCAGGGTCCTGGAGATGTACAGGTCCTGGAGTAATGCAGGTCCTGAAGCATCCTCGAGTCCTGAAGATGTGCAGGTCCTGGAGTAATGCAGGTCCTGAAGCATCCTCAAGTCCTGAAGATGTGCAGGTCCGAGAGGGTCCTCAGGTCCTGAAGACATACAAGTTTTGGAGGATCCTTAGGTACTGCAGACGTACAGGTTCAGGAGTCATACAGGTCCTGAAGCATCCTCAGGTCCTGGAGATGTAGAGGTCCTAGAGGGTCCTCAGGTCCTGGAGATGTACAAGTTCTTGAGGGTTTTCAGGGTCCTAAAGGGTCCTTGGGGTCCTGCAGATGTACAGGTCTTTGAGGGTCTTCAGGGTCCTGGATGGACAGCAGATTGCAGCCAGTCACCTTCTCTGCAGAGTAGATGATTCTAAGCAGTCCGCCTGTCCTTTTCCTTGGCAGCAGTGTACCAGATTGTGATAGAGGAGGTGAGGATGGACTCAGCGATGGCAGCGATTATCAAGGTTCCTTAAGGTGCAGATCTACAGGGTCCCATATCAGAGATGGACTGGAGCAGGTCTCTGAGGCCTAATCTTAAGATCTGTGGACACCTCTGAGCTGAACCACCGGAACCAACAAGTCTTCTAGACATCTCTTTGCTTAATTAATTATTTTTGAATCGTTCTTTTTTACGTTTCTATTTTATGTCTGTTTTGTCTTTTATTGTGAAGCACTTCTTGTTGAAGACACACTTCCTTTTTTCTGTTTTTAGGTTTATCATAAATCCGTCATATCCGTTGACGAGACCAGCGATGATGTCACTGCAGGCAGCGTGTTCTCCACTCTTCCTCCTCGACTGACCATCAACAGACCCTTTATCTTCATCGTCTACCATCAGACGAGTGGCAGCGTGCTGTCCATTGGCCGAGTCATCGACCCCTCAAAGAAATAAAGCCCCGCCCACATCAGTGACTCCTGCTACACCTGTTAAATTAATCAGTATAAAATATACTAATGTCAGTAACTCTCTCTTCTAGTGCTGTCCAACCTGAGGCCTCGAGTCCCCCCCGAGTGGTCACTGGATACATCTGAGACGAGTCAATACTTACACAACACAAAATTACATTAATGTTTTCAGACGTGTCTAATCTGTGCTGTCAACAACTGCTCCATGGATCGTGATGAAAGTTACTGGAGTCTCTTTCCAGCCCTCAAAAATAATAATAATAAAAAAAGATTGCTGACTGAAAGTGCTGCAACGTACAGACGCTGCTGAAACATGTCTTGACTTACAGAAGTTGGTTGAACGTGTCCTAACATCCAGACACTGATTGAAAGTATTGTAAGTTACAGGAGTTGGTTGAACGTGTCGTAACTTACCAACACTGGTTAGTCGTGTCATAACTTACAGAATTTGGTTAAATGTGTCGTAACCTACAGAAGCTGGTCGAAGGTGTCGTGACATCCAGATACTCGTAGCTAACCGACACTAGTTAAACTAGTCGTAAATTACAGACGCTGGTTGAACTGGTCTAACAGGAGGAGCAGTACATATTTTGGATAAATTTAATGAGTCTGGTGGAGACGGTAGAGTTACTGATATTAAAACAATTGAAACGCTGTGACAGTGAAAGAGTAATAATCAATAATAAACTAATAATGTCAGCTGGACTTTGTGTTTACAGCTCCATAAGTAAACGTTGGCATGACAACCACTATCATAGCATGTGTACTGTTTATAGGTCATGTGTGAAAACACTTCCTGTACTTTGGCCTAACTGTATTTAAATATATAAAACATGTATGTACGACCTGCAGTAAACCTCCTCTGTAAAACACTCAACATTAAAATGTCACTTTTTCCAGTGAACTACTGTCTGACCTCACTGACCACACATGACATCATCAACCATCACAGTGACATCACATATTCCAAACCAATCAACACACAGAACAGTTACATCAGTCACAATAATCCAAACCAATCACACGTCAGCAGGTGAACCACTAACCAATAAGAACACACCAACAGTTAGTATGTGTGGAGTTTACTGAACCAATCAGGTGACAGGATGAGATCATCAGAATACACAGTGCTCAGAAAATAAAAGCAGCTCAGTAGATACAAATAGAAGTCAGACTCTACTGTCTCCGTTAGTGACTGTAAGGAAGAGATGATGTCCCGTTGCATTCTGGGTAATGTTCTGAAGCCTTTATTCATCCTTAACCCGTGAAACCTGACTGTTAACTGGCTGACAGCCTGGTGGAGGTATGATGACATCATCATCTTCAGTCTCGTCCCGACTGGACACTGAAAGAGTTCGACTTCCTGTTTCTGTGGAATTAAAAAGAAAAGCACATAAATCATTTGAATCATGCGGGTGAAGCAGTGGAGTTATGACTAGCTCAGGCTACAGGATATCGGCCTGAACCTGGCCCCACCCAACCGTCCGAGGGTGTCGGCTGAGATAGAGAACAACAATTAATAATTTTATCCTGCGCAGTGTTTCACAGTGGATGATAATTGACACTATGTCAGGGACGCCTCACAGCGTCCTGTCAGAGACGAGCATGTTCATATGTTATTCTACCTTCCACGATGTGTTCCCTCATGACCGTGACTTTGGCCAATGGGAGTACAGACTTTCCCACCTGCAGCACCAACGACATCGTATTCTTGCACATCCTTTCTCTTCCATTTTTATCTGTAACCATGGTGAAGAGGAAGAGGAATGAAAGAACAGAATGTTGTTGGTGCTGCAGGTGGAACTATGAAGAAGAGGGAAGGTTGGTCGTTTTCCAGCAACAAACACTGATACCATTTGTTTATACTCTGGTTCCTGGAAGTCGGTCTCTAGCACCTTCTTCCCCATGACATAACTTGCGGGGTAAAATCTGCAAGCTTTAGCTCCTTTATGCTGCCTCGCCTTTCTCTGTAAAAGGTCCGATTGTGGAATGGGGGGACAGAGTTGTCTTGTCTTTAAGCCGGCATGTGAGGTAACAGTGCTGAAACAGCGTCACTATAAATGGGATTGTCGGGAGGACGGGGTCGTGGGCAGCACGGGTGTGTTGACGTGTTATGTGTGCAACCCACCGTGGGAGGTTTGAAAAGCAGCAACAGTTCAAAGAAGTGAACATAGTGAAAGTAGAACAGCAGCTGTGAGCAGTTAGCAGCTAACTCAAAGAAGAAGAACAGAAAATGTCCACAAACAATGAAAACAATGAGGTCCAGGAGCTCCTTACCCTCCGAGCATAGGACAAGATCAGCCGCCATATAACAGGGACGCTAAATGATTGTTATTGTTTATGAAGAGCTGCTGATGCTGTTGTGTTACATGTCACGCCTCTTTTGTTTTAGCCATTAAAATTTAGAAGTTTGAATGTTCAAAGCAAAACACGGTCTCCGTATTGAAGTGCCGCTGTTCATCTCTGAACTCGACAGCAGTGACCCACAAGTTACTGTTTGTAACCATTCATGTTTTACACTAACAGCTACATGCTGCCAGATGGCGTGTTTTAATACGCTAAAATAACGTGTTTCTGAGTCCACTGAAATAAAGCTTCAGGACAGGAACAAAGCTGTAGCATCAGTCTCAGAGCTAGATTGATGGTTTAATAAAGAGCAGCAGTACAAAGTAACTCGTTCACTGGAGTACTGTACTGTACAGTGTATCGTTACTTGTACTTTACCTGAGTGTTTCCATTTTCTGCTACTTTATACTTTGTCCTCCACTACATCTCAGGACATATTTTACCTTTTACTGCACTGCATTTATTTACAGCTGTGGTTACTGGTTAGTTTGGTGATTCATTTTATACATAAAATATATGATCAGGGAACACACAGTAAGGTGTGGGACTATGTCTCCACAAATGGTGATGTAGCTGTCTGCAAATAACTGCAAGCAGATGAGCCAGGGATCTAACAAATTCTGTCATCTCTTCAACTCTAGAGCTAGTCTACAATGTGTAATAACCTTAAATATTCCATGGAGTTATCAATGGCCAGAGAGAAATTATGCAGTTCAGTACCTACAAGGAGAAGTTTGAGGAAGTTTTATGAAAGCCAAGATTTAATATCCAATAAGCAGCAAGAAAGAGAACTGGGTGGACGAGTGGAAGTAGGCTTGGTGGATAGAGCTGGGGCTCATCAGCGTAGCAGTGGAACTGAATACCACATTTTCTGAAGATAGGGGTAAGAGGTAGAATAAATAAAAGGGGACCTATGATTGAGCCCTGAGGAACATCACTAGTACTTGTTAGAGTCAGAACTGAATGTTTTAAGTTAAATAGAGTGAGTGAAACCAGAGAGATATGATTTAAATCAGGCAAGACCAGTGCCAGTGATACAAATGGTAGCTAGTCTCTCGAGAGGGTTGTTATGGGAAATAGTACTGAAGACTGGGCTCAGATCGATACGAACAAGAATGGTTAAAAGCCCAGAGTCAGTTGCTGAGATAATTTGTGATTTTATTCAATAAGCTATTTCTTCAAGTAGCTTTCTGAGTACCTTAGTCGTATCAGTGGAAAATTGGTGCAAAGTGCACTTAGAAAAGAGTTTTTCCCCTCTACAATCTGTTTCGGTATCAGTTTCAGTTGGGCGCTAATTGTAACAGTAGCATTAAACCACAACAAGGTTAAAACAGAATCAAAACTAAATTAAACAATGCAAATCTAGCGCTCAGTGTAAATGTAGGGCAGAGAGGGGGCTAAAAGAAACCTAATCCATTTTTCAACTAGAAACAGGGCTACATCAGGATTAAAGCAGGACTAATTCAGGCTAATCTGTGGCTAAAACTGCGTAAAAGGTAGAGCTGATCTATTAAAAAAACCTGGATTTAAACCTGACTAAGGACTGAACTGAAAAATAATAGGGCTTACTTAAGATCATCCAGAGTTTAAATCGGTGTTAACTAAAACCAAGCCAGCGCTGAAGCAGCTAGACCTAATTAAAACAGGTTCAAAGATGGATGGAAATTTGGGGCTAAAACATGATTAAAAAAAACAGTGCTTCAGTGAGGAAAGAATATTTAAGATGGGCTGAAATCTGATGGAGATAAACAGTCACAGGGCTTTAAGGGGTTGGACCAGGGTTGAGGTCGGGCATAGATCAAAAGTTAGGGCTAGAGATTAAATAAAAGTTGACCACTCCTTAAATGACTGTGGTTGGAGAATTTGGGGAGAGAGAGTCTCAGATGAGGAACCACACAAACGCTGAATCATGAAGACCACTGTGACTGGTTCAATAAGCTCAAAGAGAATTTTGTATGAGGGCCACTTCTGGACCTGGTCCTAGGGGCCTCTGAGTTACAAACTAGAAAAACCATGAAGAGTCATGAGGTTGTTGGGTTCTACAGCTGAACATTTTAGCAGGAACTCACATCGACAGCTTTCTGGACTGGCTGTCCTTCACCCCGCACCCCCGGTCCATCGTTTTACTGCGCTGGTCCACGGAACTGGTTCTATGGTCTCTCTGGTCCAAGGTACTGGTCCTATGGTCTCTCTGGTCCAGGGTACTGGTCCTATGGTCTCTCTGGTCCAAGGTACTGGTCCTATGGTCTCTCTGGTCCAAGGTACTGGTCCTATGGTCTCTCTGGTCCATAATACTGGTTCTGTGGTCTCTCTGGTCAATGCTAGTGGTTCTATGGTCCAAGTTACTGGTTCTATGGTCCATTGTCCCGGTTCTCTGCTCCATCATATTGTTTCTGTGGTCCATGTTACTGGCTCTGTGGTCCAGTGTACTGGTCCTGTGATCTCGCTGATCTAGGGTGCTGGTCCTGTGGTCCATAGTGCTGCTTCTGTGGTCCAGAGTACTGGCCCTCTCCAGAAGACTGGTGGTGTTGCTGCGGATCAGGACCGGCATGGATGAGGTGGACTGGGTCGCCATGGAGAAGTGTGCAGTCCTCATGGAGTCATCTGAAAAAGACAAATGATGTATGAATAAGGACGAACACATGGACTGTCCTCTCTGACTGTCATGGTCCTGCAGTCCTGAAAATTGCCACCTGACTGAAGACAGAGTTGGTGTGTTAAACATGCAGGTGTATGAAGGAGGTGGTACCTTTGCTTGTTAACATGGAGGACTTCCCGGATCCAGAAATACCGCTCAGCTCTTTCACTTTCCTGAAACGCAGGGTCAAAAAACAGGACATTAAGAACACACTTGCTTTAACATCCCAGATGACAAATACCAAGAAGACCTCCACAGTAAATATAGGCTGTAACTATTTTGGCTTCACTGGGCAAAAAATCCCATGATTAACTTTGAGCATATAGTAATTCAAGTGGACCGAGAGAAGAGCAGACTTCTGCACCTCCTCTTGGCTCTGTTTTCAGACTGTAGAAAATCTAGACCATGATGGAGACTTTCACCAACTACAGGTCATTTCAGAGAGAGGGTGTCTCTATTGGCTGTTCTACAAATGCACATGTGCATGCACATCCCTTCAGATGGTGAAAGTCTGTTCAATAGTGGAGAATCCTGCAGAAAGAGTTGCTATTCCAGCATCGACAACAACTGCCTACACTGCAGAGCAACCCAGAAAACGAAGATGGACTGCTCAGAAAGAGAATCTGACAGTAAACGAAACAAAACGTGTCTATATCAGCAAAGTACTAATAGTTTAGCCTTCTGCTAACAAGAGAAGGAGGCTCACGGCTGTGGCTTCAAGTTCACATCTGTGTAGCTACCGTTAGCTACAGTCTCGAATTACATGGTGTTTCTCAAAATTAAGGAAGGATCCTTAAACGAATGAATTTTAAGGAGGCTACATCACTGAATCTTGCCGAAGGACTGTTCCAGTGTCAAGGATCTTTTGAATTCTACCGAGGACCGAGTCCTTCCCTTTATAAATTTTAAAGGATGCAAGT